TCTCTCTCTCTCTTTTGTTTGACTTCCCACATCTTTTTCTGTCAATCAGGAAGTCTGTTCTCTCTGAATGTCTGTCTGTCTGTGTGTATGTCAGTCTGTCATTTTATTTTTAAAGTCTAAACTATCCACACTGAACGATGTTGCCTGTTTGATTCTCTCATTGTATCCCTTCCAGTCGGGTTGTTCCTACCTATACGTAATAAACATCCCACCTCTTAAACAATCTAAACTGTGTCGATGGGAGAGAACACAAAAATGACAAAAAATACAAAATTACTGGTCAGGCTTTTCACGATTAGTACGGTTTACGGTAAGTGTGTGACCTCAATCTTGACAGAAGGGCAGCCATAACTGCAATATTATATCCGTCGCTATGACCTCTACTCTATGTCGTTGCCCTCCGTGAAACTAGATTTTCCGATGAGGGTCAGTTGAAAGAAAGGAGTGGCGGCAATGCTTTCAGCTGGAAAGGAAAATACCTTTCGGAAAGTAGAACAAATGATTCTTGGCTTTGCCATGAAACATCACATAGATCTAACTACCCAACTGGGAACCGTTCCGAATAATTCTTAAACGACAGACTCAGAGTTCCGAGACTTTCCATTGGTAAGAAGACTCAATATGAAATATTTGTGAGTGCTTAATGACCTTACGATGACAGCCTGTTAATGTCACAGACAAATTTTTTTGTGAGCACCAAGTTGTTATATGCTCTGCCCCAGCGTCTGACAAGTTGGATTTAGTGTGTGGATGATGCACGAAGGGTTCCCAGGCTCTTCTGCTGACGGTAGTCTTCAGCTCCCGTAGGTTGCTGGCATAGACAAACAACTAGCATGATACGTGTCTGTGAACTGCTATTTACCCATGATTGAGCGACAAGAATGATGTGTGAACTGCTATTTTCTAATGATGGTGCAAAAATGGAACAATGCAAGAACTGTGTTTTCCCGATGACAGTTCCACTAGAATGATGAGTGAAATATTTGCCCTTGATTGTGCGCTGCTTGCTCATGAACTTTTATAAAATACCTGAGAGAACTTTAAACCCACAGTAGACAAAACAAAAGCAGAAGTTCCCATCTAGTCTGCCCCTTGTGATATGAAATATTCCCTTCTCGTCAGACATGAAAGTGCAAGATTTGGCGATTAATCTACTGGCAGAGGCACAGACATTGGTGGAAACGACAGACACTAGCACGAACGGGATTTTTGACAGCAGCAAAAAGAACCCGTCCCTGACAAGTTCAGGATAGTTTATCAAGGTACAGCTTGGTGGACCATACAAGAAACGACAGAACCTTTTACAACTTGTAAAAGACATTTAATCTAAAGTAAAATGTTCTTTTCCCCCGCCCTTTATAATTGCAGTGCATGTCGTGAATTCCTGGAAAACTGTAATGGCCCATCGGGTTTTTAATTTTCAATTTTTAATTTTTTTTCAAAGCAGGAGTCTGTACGCCATATTTAGATGATTTAGGAGGCGGGCTTCTCTCCACTAGGTTAGTGTACTGGATGCTGTTGCGGTCGTCATGATGCTTTTGGTCAAGTCAAGACGAAGAGACGTATATGTGTAACAGTGGGTCTGTCTGTGTCGTGGGGAAATAGAACACGTGAAGGACAAACTGACGTGGT